ACGTATGAGGGCTGTTATCATTTGCCGGTTGCCCACACCGTCGAAGGGCTCTTCTGAAGGTACGTGAAAACTAAATTGGATTAGAGGTGGTCTTAGTGACCTGAGAGCGTGACCGCAGTGCTCAAAGGACAACTGGTTTAAGTCGGTCACGCACGACCATTTTGTGAGTAATTTTTGTGTTAGTTCCGTACTTGTTGAGACCTTACCGCCGGAGACGGATATCGGTTTGATAAGGCGAGTTGTGCATTTTTAGAATGGACCTTTTCTAACCCCACCCCTCCTTGTGGGAAGGCAGCATCGTTGTTATGTGGATAGCACGTAGTACATTCAGTTTCAACCCCACAACTTCATATCACGAATTACAAACTTTTTAATAAACATAAATAAATACAGTAATACGGAAATCACCAAACTTCATAACTAGGCAAGCCCTAACTTGTAATCTTAAAGGGAAACGCTTAAGTGAAAGGCCGAAGAACACACTGCGTCGAGAATTGGAAGTAGATATGGAAAGGATGAATAACAACAACTGGAAAGAGCTGCAAACGATTGCCCAGGAGAATGCTGGTGAGCGGCTTATGCTCCTTCACGAGGAGTTACAGGAGTAAGTAGGTAAGTACAGTGATGTGTTATACAGGATGACTTTGATTAAAAGTAGCCCAATACTGACATGTTCATACTTATTATGATAATCATTATATTAAAAATATTTTAGTTTGTTTCCTTTGTATTATTTAAACTTAGTTATGAATACAGTATTTTAAGACAGAATAAATGAATTTCAGGTTTAGCGTTCGCGCGTGAGACTAATAAGTCTTGAATTCGAAACTCAAGCAGCGGGATCGTGGATGCACACTGCCGAGGAGTCCGATACTAGGACTTAACGGCCGTCTACTGCTTCCAGGTTTTCCATAGTGATCTAGTTTTTATGTAAATCGTGAATTTCAACTATTGAATTATTATAATATCCACAAAAACACCTTCGGATATTAATCAATCTATACTCACTAGGGACTGGCTTCAAGAGGTATTTCGTAGAGTTCTAGTGAGACGCAGCGAACAGTAGAGTTCAACCAGGTCTGTTGTGGGATGGTAACTCACTGAAGACGATGGTGGATGGTGGCTCAATTTCGTGGATTAGTTGAAATTAGACATTAACACCGTTGATTGCAGGCAAGTTGAGTGGTTTAAAGGTTAAGCGTTCGCGCACGAGACCTATGGGTCCTGGGTTTGAGTGCCGTGATGCGGGATCGTGGATTTGTACTACTGAATATCCTATACTAAGATGAAGTGGCTGTCCAGTGCCTTTAGGTTTTCCATGGTTGTCTAGTTTTAACTGACTCATGCATTTCAATGATTAAAATTACTACTATGGCAGATAATTTGAACTTAACAATATAACCTAATTCAATAGTCAATATCTTTATGGATTGATGTTATATTTTTTATTTCGGCTATTCTTAGTGTCATACTATTGAAACATTTAAACCATAGTGAGACTATAATTTATGGATGACCTTTGAACGAAGCTAAAGTAACCTTGAAAATGTTCAACTACTCACTAGAACTAGATAAAGGTCACAAATCTGTGTGAGGAATTAGAATTATGATTTACAATTGATGATTGAGATTAGGAATTAGATCTAAGGTGTTTCATCACGAATCGACATTAACTATAATGCCAAATCTCTATTTCAACAAAGGAATGATGAATGGATTTCGCGCCATAAACCAAGACCTATTATCTTAAAACTGATTGGTTCATTCATAAATTATAATCTTGCCGCCAACAAAATCGGTTTAATTTACTGTTGATTATTCACCAATTTAATTACAATTACATAGTTTGTTTTCATGTCCATGTATTTCTTAAATATCTTCAACTCTACCTGATTTCTTCATATAACTAAATAGTCATAATTGAATTTCTAGTATAGGGGTTGTGGAAATTATTAAGTTTTTAATTGAGATCATGAACTGATTGATGTTAGACCACCTTTGGAAACCTGGAAGCATTTCGTCCTACTGTGGGATTGCTCAGCAGTGCGCATCCACGATCCCGCTCGCGAGATTCGAACCCAGGGCCTTCAGTCTCGCGCGTGAACGCTTAGACTACTGGACCACTGAGCCAACATCGAATGGTGATAGTGTCTAACATCAACCAATCCACGAAATTGCGCGACCATCTTCCATTGTACTGAGGTAGATACCTGTCTCTACCCGACATGGATTAGCTGAATTGAATTTATAAATATTTAGTTTATCTAATTATGGATATTTCGATTGACTTTTGATCACCCTTAGTTGGTATATGTGTATTCTTTATTTAAAGCCTCGATATATTGCCATTATGAAACAAGTTTACACTTAGAAAATGGAATATGGTTAGCGCTGGAATTCAGTATGTATGTTTTAACTTATTTTGGAATGGTTAGGTGAGTTTATTAGTATTCCACAGTTTATGTTATCTATGAAGTCAGTAACTGAGTGAATAATAGTATATCGACGTTTTTAGTGGTGCGTATTGGCTTTTAATATCGAAGTGAGCTTCATCTCTGGGATTCAATTACGTTCAGCTGACAAGGCTCATAATGAATGAAATATTCGTCATAAATTTCACATATAATGCGGCAGATCGTTCTGTTCTACTTTACGGCTGCGAAACGTGGATATTAAGATTAGAAGATATTCGGAAGCTGACAGTATTTGAGCACAGATGCCTTAGAAATATTGCTGGCATCTGCTGGGATCATCGGGTAATTAATAGTGAGGTTAGACGTAGGGTATTAGGGAATGATGAGGTTGTAAATCTTCGTTGACTGAGATGGGCGAACCATGTGTTGCATATGCCTGAATACCGATCAAAACGACGCACAATACTGACTAGTGTTGCGGTTGGGGTTGGAAGAAAGTTTGGTGTGGCCAAACCAAGACGTGACATCAGTGCTTGAAGTCACTAACTTTTTATCTGAGCCATGTTGGTAGATGTAGACTACTTGATTGGCGTCCGCGTGACTATCGTAACCAATGGTTGCAGATCCTGTGTGATATGGATCAGAATCGATCACAATGGCGTAGGTGTATACACTCTTTGTCTTCCCTTAAACTATGAGATTAAAATCGCATCATATCTTTCTTTCTACGAACCAATTATTTCTTACTGTACTATAGCTTTATATGTAGTCTTTCCTGTATATATTACCACCAATGAATGAACTACTTTTATTAATCCGGTGTTCATCTTGTTGTGTTAATGAGGTATGGCAAGTTGGACCGATGCATATATGTGCCTGGTCCTATGTTTTAGCTGATTGACCGACTGACTTCAAAGTTAACCATATTTCATCTATTCAATGTAAACTATATAGTCAATCTTATATATTCCATCTCATTAATATAACAACATTTAAAGTAACATATGAATTAATGTTTATCTCATAACTTAAGAAAGATCAATATCAGATGGGTTTTGTGGAAATTGTAGTAATTTCAATGGTTAAGATCATGAGTCAGTTGAAGTTAGACCACTATGGAAAAGCTGGAAGCACTGGCCGGCCGTTTCGTCCTATCCTACTATAATATCCACAAAACCCATCTGATATCAATCAACATATACTCATTAGTGACTGGCTTCACGAGATATTTCCTGGAGTTCTAGTGAGAAGTAGTGACTAGTGGAGTTCAACTAAGTCTATTGTGAGATAGTAACTCACTGAAGACAATGATGAATGTGTCGCTCAATTTCGTGGATTAGTTGGAGTTAGACATTAACACCGTTGGATGCCGTCTCAGTGGTCTAGTGGTTAAGTGCTCGAGCGCGAAACCAGTAGGTCCTGGTTTCGAATCTCGCAGGGGGGAGATCGTGGATGCGCACTGCTGAGGAGTCCCACAATAGGGCGAAACGGCCACCCAGTGCTTCCAGGTTTCCCATGGTGGTATAGCTTCAACTGACTCATGATCTTAACCATTGAAACTAAGAAAAATCATTGAATTGCTTCAAATTCATTAGAAGGAATTATGTCGTCAAGTTATATTAAATTGAGTTTAAATTAAGTCTACTATAAGTAGTATGATTATTTTTATTAAATTTGTGGAAAGATTAGTATATTCCAGGAGAATTTAATAATGAATATAAATAGATATGTAATGAGAACTTGGTTAGAAATTTAACTTGACAACCGATAATCTACATATCACACAAGTCTTCATAAGGTACTTCAAAAATATACTGAAAAAGTCATAGTAATACAACAAACTACAGATGATATATTGATAATATCGCATAGAAAATTAAAACATTAGGTGATTTGAATATCATCTCTAAATGCCCTGGTACGACTGAGAGTGAGGAGAGTCAACTCTCCCTCTTCAAATACTCTCATACGTACACGCGTATACAGTCACTGAATAAGAAGTCCTACTCATTGATTTCTGGCGGCAGTACTGTTGTTTACGAAGTTGAGAGAATGAAAAACAAATGTTCGGTGCTTTAACCAGGGTGATGGATTTGAAGGATCCATCCAGTGGAGTTGGAAACCCATCATTCCAAACCAATGGTGCACATGTACTCCAGGATCCTGAGGGAACCAGTGGAGTATGAACCAATTACCAATTGCAATCTTAAACATCAATGAGAAGATTTAAACAACCAATACAAAAAATAAACTCAACTTCACATCACTATATAAGCTAGTGGCTATCTGAACTCAGTAGATAAGTGGATAACGTTTAAAGCAAACGGTGCCAGGTTCGAGTTCCAGAGTGAACATCAACTCTGAAATGCAGGTACATACAACTGACAAGTCTCAAATAGAATGAAACACACATCCTAGATTCCACTGTTAGCCTCTATACATCTTTTTGCTTAGAATGTTTGTAACCTAAGGAAATCTCAAGATCATCCGCATATATATTAACAAGAGACTAATCAATTACAACGTTAGGAAGATACAATTAAAACAACATCAATTGAATTCATATTCATCTATAATGAAACTTACCAATTGAATTGTTAACACACCAACGTTTTTCCATTATTATTTTAAAGCATAACCATTTTTGTAAATAACATAATGTACATAATGTACAAAGAAATATTATACCAGTTATACATAAATAACACCATGCCCATAATGGTAAATAAGAATAAGAAATGATTTCTTCTTCAGTGACCATTGAATAATATACGTTTTAAACAAAATATTAGATGATTATGTAAGAAATAAAATTGATTATAATCCTATTATAATTAGAACTTGTATAAGACATTGTCATTACACTATTATATGTAATCATTTACTCTATTCTATACATTACTGATTTTAATCAAAGTACACATGGATCAATAATTCAAATCATTCCATGTTATGTATATAGTAGTACTCATGGACAGGGGTGAAAGGAGTGGGGTGGGGGGTAAGTAAATGAGTACTTTACCACCCCCCTCACCAAAGACGAACATGTATATTTCATATAGTTTGTAAAAGGATATCGTTGTAGAATTTGACTTTGATTGGTTATTAATACGAGTTGGAGGAACCTGTTGATTGTTCCCCGTTTACATATATGAAATTCCCTTATGAGAAATATATATATATATATATATATATATATATATATATATATATATATATATATATATATATAGTAAATTATAGTAGAAGACCATAAGGTGGTTATTTTCTAATCTAACACTTACCTACAATCCGTCATTTACTAATCAATTCTAATCTTAACACTTATTGGCTATTAATTACTACCATGGAAAACAGGGAAGCACTAGGCGGCCGTTCAGTCCCAGTATGGAACTCCTCAGCAGTGTGCATCCACGATCCTGCACTCCGCGAGATTCGAACCCAGGACCTGTCAGTCTCACACCAAGCGCTTAACCAACTACACCACTGAGCCGGCATCCAATGGCGTTAATGTCTAACTTCAACCAATCAGGGAGCGGGATCATGGATGCGCACTGCTGAGGAGTTCAATACTGGGACGAAACGGCTGTCCAGTGCTTCCAGGTTTTCCATGGTGGTCTAATTTCAATTGACTCATGATTTCAATCTGTGGGATTTCTAAAATCTCCACAAACCCCTTCTGATATTATTTACTAACCAATATATTACAGTGTAGTTACTTACGCCTATTGCCCTTTATGGAGAAGCATAGGCTGTTCACCAGTATTCTCCATTCAACTGTCTTGAAAAATCCTTTCCAGTTGGTTAATCTAATTCTTAACAATCACAGATTTGACTATGAAACAGAAGTAAATGAATTCGAACATGAGTAAGAGCATTAAGATTGAAAATAGACATTACTAATGATGAGAAATAAAAAATAGATTCATGATTGTCTGCCAATCAATATTAACTAGTGATTACCAAAATAGGAGTACCAATGTATTAAAGAACTTAGTACAGTTGCGGTGTGTGCTACTTATATTGACATAAGTAGCAGATGATGTTAGTCGTGAACAGAAAGTCTAGCAGCAGAGAGATAAGAGGATCGAACAGTAAACAATGGAAACATGATGTAATTTGTATGAAAATGCAAGAACAATGAATTCTGAGTCATTATGAGACAACTGATGGACATTTTGAAGATTACGTATTTACCATTTGATTATTAAGTTTTTTTTGTGTCAAATACATTCGATTGTCCCCAGCCGTGTTCTGTTCACTACACAGTGATCGTACTACAATTTGTAAGTAAGACGTTGTAGATACTGTTGAGTTTCATTCAAATCATAGGCCGATCTAAGTTAAACTACTATTAAAAATCCGGTAGTATTGGGCATCCATTTCATCCAAATGTGTATCCAGATCTAACTTGTATTTCACAGTTTAAATGATGAACTGACTTTAGTTAGATAACCACTGAGAATAGAAGGCTCTGGAAATCTGTCTCTTCCTAAATAGCGTGCATACAAAACCGAACCTCCGTTAGTCCTGGTTCCCATCACTGATGTATTTGTAAACCCGCATTAATGAAAAGTTTCATATTACGACAAAAAAGTTGTCTAGCGCTTCATAGCTTCGAATGGTTGACCATGGCCACGTCTTCATATAAAACTTTCAAACAAATAACAGTCAATATTACCCAATGATTTCTTAATTTTTAACTCCATGATCGAATTTACCCACGCAATCCATGGAAATTCTGGTATATATATACACATATGCGCTACAGTGCTGTGTTCATAGAAGACATAAATAAACATTCAACTTTGGATGACTGAAATGAAGCTCCAAGTAACAATTACACTCTTATATACAGCACTAACACACTAAATGAATAGGACATTGCACTTTCATTAAGCATTGAACAGAAATGGTCATCTTTACACCTACATTAATTTCTTGCACTATGCATAATATCAGTTTGTGATTTTAAAAAAAAAACAACCTAATTTCGTATCTTGACTAATCCTTAACACTAGTTCATAATTCAATTTTAAACCAAGTAGTTGGTTATCCGCGAGACAAATTTGGGAACCAACTCTAAAATTTAGCTCAACCAAATAATCAATATATCCTACGCTCTATAGTTTAAAAATTTGTACGACTATGATAACACTTATAATTGAGAGTACAATTTAAGACTAGAATCTTACAATTCATTTCAATATAGGTGAACATAAATTGTGTTTCACTGAAAACTACTATTTGTGTGACGATCAGGTATGTAAAGTATGTCCAAGGTAGAGAAGCTGGAGTTCGAAAATTGTATTAAAAATATAAGTTGTTATCACTGATTCCGTAAACATATTCGTGAACCTTAGTATTACTAGTATGATGTCGTCAACAGATATAAGATATTCTTTTGAAGTAACGTTGAAAGAGCACAAAATCGCTGAACATTTTTAGATAGGAACGATTTAGTTTAATAAACACAAAAGCTGATCCTTTAAACCTATCCAGTAGTAACAAACGTGGAACAGGATTACACAGCCTGATTTCGCTTTTATTGTAGATAAATAGATCTTATCTGTCATTTACGAACAACAGACACAAAACTGACCAAATACATGAACTTTGAGAATATTTCTTACATTTCACCATAGTTTTGAAAGTAAGGTAGTAATTAATCGAAGACTTGAAATACGAATCCTACTATGAGAATAACTGACAACAGTTTCATATAAACATAAATGCTATTTAATGATCTGAAGGGACTGTGTTTGCCAAAAGACGTGAATCGTGCCAAGTAACCGACCATGTGAATTGTAGTATGAGTGCGCGCACTGCTAAGGAAAACCTAAAATAGACTAGCTGTCCAGTATTACATAGCTACAACGTAGGACCAAGCACATTTATACATCCGTCCAATTTTTCAGACCTCATTAGCACAACAAGATCAACACCGGATCCATAAAAGTAGTTAGTTCACTGGTGGTCATATATGAAAGAAGGATTGTGTATAAGACTATAGTTAGGTAAGAAACAATTGGTTCGTAGAAAGAAAGATATGAAGCAATTTCAATCTCATAGTTTAAGGGAAGACAGAGAGTGTATACACCTACGCCATTGTGATCGATTCTGACCCATGTCATCCAGAATCTCAAATCATTGGTTACGATAGTCACGAGGACACTAACCAAGTAATCTACATCTACTAACATGGCTCAGATCAGAAGTTAGTGACTTTAAGCAGTGATGTTACGTCTTGGTTTGGCCACACCAAACTTTCTTTCAACCCGATCCCAACCCCAACACTAGTCAGTATTGCGCGTCGTTTTGATTGGTATTCAGGCACATGCAACACGTGGCCCAACCATCACATTCAACGAAGATTTACAACTTCATCAACTGATTTGCTATCATTCCCTAATACATTACATAGTTGTCTCTAGCTAATGTTATTTTGCATTAAAAAACAACCCAACCCTCCACCCATCAAGAACTTATCTAACATGAAACAAACAAAATAAATATTTTAGTAAATCATCTCGACATAATAAACATTCCAAATATCATAATTTTATGTACAAAGGCTAACTGTCCATAGATCAGTAGATCAAAGGGTATCATAATAATAATAATAATGAATCGGATCATTCAACATTATTTTCATGTGTATATTGTGTTGGTAAACCAACACGACCATCTTTTATTTGTGCTATAGGTGTTTGACCAATTTTCGGATCTAAACCAAACCATGTTCGATTAACTCTATTAGCGTATAAATTCCATTGATTATAGTCAATTAATTCACCTGATGATTGAACAATTAAAGATTTAGAATTATCTTCAGTATGAAGTTTAGTTTCTGGAATATAACGACTATGTCCATCAATTAATGAAACCATGGCGAATGATTCAGTTATTTGTGGAATAACACTCTCCACAGGTATATAAGCTTGACCACCTAAAGAAAATTAAAAATTATTTTTAACATTTTCATATACGTTGAAAGATGAAAGAAAAAGTATGCACTGAATAAGTTACAATTAATTAATCAGTGAGAAGTAATTAATGTTGGCCAAATCACTTAAGTTTAAATGTGTCCACTGATCAAAGTGACTTGACATCACGTACATTATGCTTAGATGTTAGGCGGTTGGAAGTAGTCAATAGAAAACCTTGTTTGTTTTAGGTTTCGTGCTAATTACCACTCTTCAACAAAGCGTATCTATAATTTTGAGGGGATTGATTGAACCTATGTCAAGAGGCTTCGTTGCTTAAGATATTAACTATTGAGCTGTTTCGATGATAATGTCATAGTTCTACTGTACATGACGAACAAAAAAATTTAACAATGTAGGATATCCACTTTCTGTTGTTTTACTTGTATCTTCCCATTGTTATTTAGGGCTGTAATTGATCAGTCTCTTGTTGACATATGTGAATCCTATACGGACTGCCTCGATATTGCTTTAGGTCACAAGCTTTGTAAGCATAGATAGATAGTGGCTAACAGTGTAATCCAAGACGCGCATTTCGTTCTATTTGGGACCCGTCAGCCAGATGTACCTGCATCTCAGAGTTGATGTTCACTCTGAGACTCGAACATAGGACAGTTCACTTAAAAACTCTATCGCTTTATTCACTCACCTATTGAGTTCAGATAGCCACTTGATTGTGCAATGTGAAGTTTAGTTTCACTTGGTATTGTTTGCTTGAATCTTCCTATTGTAATTTAGGACTTCAATTAATCAGTCTGCTTTTGGCATATGTGCATACTATGCATATTGCCTTAATTCACAAGCATCCTAAGCAGAGACGGATAGTGGCTAGCAGTGGAATCCAGGATTCCTGGATCCAACAAGAGACTGATCA